GTAACGCGTAAGCGCTAGAGTGTAACATAACTGGTAAACAGGCGTTGAGAACATTATAAGCGCCAGTGAGTGACACTAGCGTGTAAAGAACGATACGAATTGTTTTTCTCTAAAGAGAGCGTCCACACAAAGCTATGACCTTATTTTTTTACCATTTACTTTTTTTTTTGGGGGGTGCACATTTTTCTAGGGAGGTACACATTTTTCTAGGGGGGGTGCAAAAGTTTCTAGGGGGGGGTGCAAAAAACTCTAGGGGGGCTGCGCACCCCCCCCCCCGCACCCCGTCCTTGTTGGTCACTGAAAAACCCCAATGGGGAGTGAGTGAACAATAATGTAATGTAAAAAATTGTGATTATATTTTATGTACTGTACCTTGCAAAGCTTTCATATGTTCAACTGCAAATCTCAAAACTGTCAGTTTATCAGGTTTCTTGTCCACTGATGGAGGTAAAGGAATCAGTGTGGATAAGTCATTGATATGCTGGTTAATTTTATCCCGACGTCTTTTCTCCGTCTCGCTATGGGAATTCCTAAATTGGAAGTAACTCAAATATAAATAAGGTACGGGCCATAGGAACAGTTAGCTTGCGCTTTATGCTGCTGCAGTCCACATATGTGGGCCGCAAATAGTCGGGAGCTAGCCCATTAAGTGATTTGTAGACCATCGCAGCTTTTTGAAACTTGCGCTCGGAGCCAAGTTTCCTCCACTCATAGCTAGAAGATATTAATATGTTATCGATTTTACAAGAGCGACAAGTCGACTCGACAGAAGCCCTCATCGCTAACTGTTCGCGCACTTTAAGAAATTTAAGCTCAAGCGCGCAAGTAAATAAGTGTAATACGAGTCGACTGGTGACATTCATGAAATTCGCCACACTGTATATGACAAGTGAAATTAATAATTAAAACTCTTTGGGATATTCAAACGTTGTCTGGGCTTTTGGTATCAAAGTCATCAAACTACTGTATATAATTTACTGTAGTTGGTCATTGCAATGACCAGATGCATAATTAATTTAGATGGGTTCCCTTGTTTTGGGGTTGTTTCTTTCGGGGGGGGGCAGGGGCGGCGGAACCGGGGGACAGAAGAAACCAGAAGTAAAAGTGGGTAGCCCCCCCCCAGAAAATTTAGTTTTATCTGAAAAAATTGTGAAAATTAAGGAAAAATTGAGGTTATTTTTTGAAAATTTAGGTACAAGGGGAAAAATTAGCAATATTTTGTTTAAAAATTTTGTATTTCCGGAAAAATTTTTTTAATCTCTTTTCTTGTATATGTCGGAAAAATGTTTCTACCCCTAAAATGGTACACTGACCGAAATTTTTTTGGCGACGGGGGGGGGAGGTCACGCGAAAAAAAATTTAGCCCCCCCCAGAATGAAATTTGTTCCGCCGCCGCTGGGGGGGGGGGAGGGGAGCACCATGTATAACGCTAGCATTTCAAGAAGTACTGTAGTTGATTAAAATTGTTCTACCCTGATAAAGTCTTGCTAACCTTATATTAAATTCAAACAGCTGCGGTGTAGAGAGATACAACTACAACTTATAGAAATATGAGCAGAACTTCTACGTTTCGTTACTTAAAACTGGGTTTGGAATTAAAACTAGGTTTGGAATAGTGGAATAGCATGTCATAATTTAATTCACGAAACTTGTCTTGCACTAATAAGTGTTTAATGAATTCACGACTCTGCAGGTATAGAGTCGAGTGGGATAGAGAGGGGCTTCTATTACAAAATTCTGAAATCACTTCGGCATAAATTAGATACGGAGCATTTATTACATAATTTGCGCAGTACAGTGAGTACAATTACCATAACTATATGTACTTACTTTTTATCCACCCCCATTTTTGAATGCGAAGTGGTTGCGATACGGTCTGAAAGAAATAATTGATACGTTCCGCTCTGACTGCTTCTGTGGAAAGTTTGTATACAACCACAAAATTTAAGCGGTATATTTACTGTAATTACAGCTTCAAATACAGGGTACACAATTCAAAACATTCCGGGCAGGGCTCTTTGGAAAATATATTTAACACATTGAGCAATTACTCTTAAAGAATACAACAGTGTTGACAAAATAATATTCCTTTACTGTTTTATTTGAATGTTTTATACTCACAGGAATTTTTTACACAAACATTAACGGTGGGAAATAATACTTTTCCATTTGTAAAACCAACCAATGGATATACTGTAAGGCAATAGTGTATATCCATAATGGTTTTCGTAAACATGCATTTAATGGATTTTATGTACTTTTACCATTGAATGATATGGATGAGTTTGTTCTATATTACATAATGGTGATTATACAGTAGTTTTTATCGCGAATGATAAGAATGCGCTTTGTTTGTATTATAAAATGTTAACTGTGGTGAATATTGCCACCAAAATGTATATTGGTGCTATTTAAACCCATTAATGGTACCATTAATGTGAATAAAAAATTCGACAGTACGTTTGTAGAAAAAAATATTTTCACATGAATGCATGTTTTCGATAATTTGAATGGTTTAATGGGAAATACATTTCGAAAGAACAAACTGGTTTGGGAATCATAAAATCATTCTTTTTCCAAGTATTGTAGTAGTGTACAGTAAATCCCATGCCAGTATATTTAGTATTTTTGCAGGTAGCCAAAGATCTGCGTGGTCCAAATTTGCCCTCTTCGCTTAAAGCTTGCAAACTGCGATAGGGGACGGGGCATCAAAGAAATTTTTATGGTCTTCCAAAGCTTAATTGCTGTGTCTTGATAATTTATTATACTCTAGAATCATGAAAATATAAAGAGTTGTCGAATAAAATTCAATATTTTGGATACCGACATGTAAACAAAGCCTTTAGCCCCGTTTACACTACGCTCAATTTTTGGAACGGCACGGATAAAATTGGTACCCGTACCACTTTTTTGGTTCTTGGACTACCTATTTAGGTAGTCCAAGGACTACCTATTTAGGTAGTCCAAGAACCAAAAAAGTGGTACGGTACCAAAAATCGAGCGTGGTGTAAACAGGGTTCAAGATATAGGTAGTCCAAGAACCAAAAAAGTGGTACGGGTACCAATTTTATCCGTGCCGTACCAAAAATTGAGCGTAGTGTAAACGGGGATATTGTTTACATACGGACTGTACCGCATCTTTAAACGTTTATTTCCAGCTTTAAGGCAGCACTTCATTTGCGGTAGTAATTACTAGTTTAATAATAATTTTGAGCGATTTGTCAATATTACAATGTCGGTTGGCTTTCAAAGACAAAGGCCATAAATCGCTAGAATATGTTGTTTAGTAATAATTTGACATCGGTAAGTACAATTTCTTACGCTGAATCGAACGGTGGTATTTTTATCCTTATTGAGGCATTAGGCATTTACAAATACAAGGACAAACATACTGCGAGTGATTTGTCAACAATGCATACTGCGAGCGATTTGTCAACAATACAATTTCGCTTGATTTTCAAAAGCCATAAATCGCTAGAATACAATACGATTTCGCTTGGCTTTTAAGACAAAAGCTATAAATCGCTAGAATATGTTGTTTAGTATAATTTGACATCCGTAAGTAGGCTACAATTTCCTACGCTGAATCGAACGGTGGCATTTCTATCCTTATTGCGCCATTAGGCATGCATTACTCATTAGGCATGCATTACTCATTAGGCATTACAAATACAAGGACAAACGTACTGCGAGTGATTTGTCAACAATGCACACTGCGAGCAATCTGTCAACAATACAGGCATTCTCTGGGAACAAGATTGGCTAGAATACTGTTGTTTTAAATTAGTAATACATTTGACATCCGTAAGTACAATTTCTTACGCTGAATCGAATGGCGGTATTTTTATCCTTATAGACCCATTGCACATGACGTCACAGCGCTAGTGATGATGCATCTGGAGGGCAAATTAGCAATCTATGTATAATATAACTTTTGTAAACAAAGCAAATTTTTTTAAAGTTTATAATAATTTTGTGTTAAAATGGTTAATTTTTGCGCTGTATGTGGTTGTTGTATCCGAACAGATATTGTTAGGTAGCATCTGGAGGACACTCTAAGGACTTGTGACGACAGTGCAGAGGGTCTATTGCCCCATTAGGCATTACAAATACAATATCTAATATAAATTAAATTATATTATTATTATTATTTTATTATTATCTAATAAATTTACGTGGTGTTTCCACAAACAAAACTATTATATGTTTTATCGCCATGCAAACGTACAAAGAACTTAAATACAATCTCATATTTCACACTATAGCTTTCACGTTTCCACAGCTAACTATTAGGAACTGTTGTTGGATAAATTTTATATTCATGACACCAATATGCTTCTCATAAAGTAGTTATCTATTAAAACTACGTTGTGTAGTTTAAGTTATAACCTTTTACCTTGAAATTGTCTTTGGCTCGTTTATATTCAGATTCAGTACATTATTATCGTGCACGGGAATTCAACGATCCAAATTTCGGATTTTCAGAGTCGTGCACCAAGAAAAATGCATTAACTAAACTAGCAAGAATCTCCAGAGTTTGACACAATGCAAAATCCATAGAAAACAGGTACAATGCGTTGAAAATTTTAATGAAATTGTTTGAAACATTTTGCACACTCCACGAAGGCCGCCATTTTAAAAAGGATAAATTGGGTTTTATTAGGCAGCTCATTAATATTCTATTTTGTGGCTATCCGACGATTGGAGAATGCTGCCGAAACCTATACACGCCGGGGCACACTGCCGCGGGGCACACTGCCCAGCGAGTAATAATTTCAAATTGATCGCATTTTTTGAGTAGGATTTTTTGTTTTTAGTTGTAATAATATTAAATATACTAGAAATACATGCATGCAGCAACCCCTCGCATGTATTTTCCAAACATTGATTTAACATGAAGTATTGGTAATTGATTACCATTGAACCTTTGACTGAACGCAGGCTCGCGTTTACGTCAGTGTAACACGATAAATTTAATTTTTATTATATTTTTTGTACAACACGCCAAAAATAGTTGAAAGATTATTGCTTTTAATTATATAACAATGAATTTCCGAAATATGTACTGTAGGTATGTTGTTCTGCATTCTGTGAGCTTTGATTTAATGTAAAATTTAACGTGAATCGCTTCGTAAAATGTTTTGAAATGTTCATTTTAATATTAAACTATAAACTGCTTTTTCCGAAATAAAACCGTACGGGCTTTATATAGTTTATAAATCAAAATAAGTTCAAATTGTTGAGTAATTTCAGTTCGAATTTCAAATGAATTTGCTCTCCTTTACATTTTACCTTTTATTCTTAAATTAAACAGGGTAATTTAGCAAACTTTAATACAGCTTCATTGAAAAGGAAAGCAGTGCATGTTTTACGCAATAAATTAAAGCAACAAAATTCATAAACATTAAACATTCAATTAAGCAAACTTGCCTTATATTCCACGATTTTCCACAGTAAATCAATTCTTCTCATTTCTTCAAACAAAAATAGGTACGCGACCGCGTACATGTATCTGCGCATTAAAGGTCCAGACACGCCGGACGCGATTCGACAACGCGACGCGATTTTTCGACTTTCACTGACCGATAACTTTGATCCAAGTTTAAATTTTCCAAATATTTAGAAGCGCTATAACATTTTAAGTTACTTGGTCTACATATGTTTCAAACTGATTTGCTCTCATTGGCTGTTTTTCAAAAACTGAAAAATCGCGTCGCGTTGTCGAATCGCGTCCGGTGTGTCTGGACCTTAAGGCCTGATTCCACGACGGCGAAATTCGTCGCGAGAACTTGTGTCTGCGAAATACGGTGGTTGCACATGAGCGATTATATTGAATTGTCCCACTTTGTCCCCTTTCGCAGTAAGTAGAAATGTTTCGCATTTCGCCGAGAAAAAACGCTCGTGGAATCAGGCCTTTACTGCATTGATGTTGCATTCTCGGAATTACATTTTTACAGCAATTGTGCGAAATTGTGCTAGTTGAAATTATATGCCTGCTTCAGATATAATATTTACATTTAACCAGTGACTTCTAAATTAAGAGGACGAGAACCATTTATATCCCGAATCACGGCAACCGATTACATCATACAAAAATGTTTCTTTTTATCTGGAGCTAAATATCTGCTATTCATACAGTTCATTACTTTTAAGAACAATTTAAAGAAAATAATTAATTAAGGCTGTAAAATGTGTGGATTCAAAGACGTGGGATTAGACGTCTGTACATGGAGTCATGAGCTAATAATAGTTTCTGACATTTAAAAGAACAGGGCTACGTTTATACTATACTTTGTTTTTATAGTTTAGCTAAGTTTCAGAGGCCTCCATTAAATAACAGTCAAGATATACACGCAAATATAATTTGCTTGTCTATATTTAAAATTTGTAATTGTTTCGTGAAGATTCAACCGTAAAACAATTGCCGGAAGTGCAAGCCCTGATTATAAAAACTCAGGGAAAACCCGTGCGGTATGAAATGCGTGGCGTAAACATGTCAATCAAATATCATTCTATAAATATGACGTTTTATATTTGCACAGTACATCGTGTACGTTTTTGTTGTAGAACTTGTGTTGTTCAAATCGAATATGAAGTAAAATCAGGAGCATACTGCCACAGGCTAATTTTGTATTTTAATACCCTCTGGAAATACAAAGGCTTTGGTACCCCTATCTATCACAAAATGTAACAAATCCAAAACAAAGTATGAGGACTAATATTTTTCCTATCATTTGACAGACTAAAAGTATTATTCAAGAAATATGTCCATTTTAATCATAACGTGATACAAAAATACTAAATAACATGCAAAATTCAGTGCCAAAGAGGGATTTATTTGGCGGTA